AAGTCACAAGCTAGGCCAGACAACCAACAGCGGGTTGTCTGACCGCATACATGCAAGCATCCCGTTCCATCTAGGCGTCAAAGCTGGCGCAAGTCGCAAGCTAGGCCAGACAACCAACTGCGGGTTGTCTGACCGCATACATGCAAGCATCCCGTTACATCTAGGCATCAAAGCTGGCGCAAGTCGCAAGCTAGGGCAGACAACCAACATGGATGCGTGCTCGTAGACATGGCGGGGCGCTCGCATCGCATTGACGCAAGCACACGCCACCAGAAAGCAAAACCAAAAGAGAACCGAACACAACAAGTTCAGTATCCAAGCGTAATCTAGAGACCCTCACTGAGTCAGTGGCGCACTTCGGTGTGGCTACTCTTGGAATTACCCACGTTGTCTCAACGATGATCCAGTACAACGACAGTGTGATATTGAGCGTTTGCATCAAAGACGCCTCGAACTTCCGTCACATATATAGCAATACGACCTGGGTGGAGACTGCTGGACCCTGTGCCGCGATATAAAAAACAACAGGACCCTCCCCCCAAAAGAAAATATAATACAAACAGTGAGGCTCACTGAAACGCCGAAAAAACCTCCCCAAAGCCTCCTCAAGTAAAGCCCCCAAACTCCCCTGAACCCAAATTATCCCGCATTGGTCCAGAGAGGTGATGGCGGTGATCAAGTTGGGGATCGCGGTGACCGCGGCGATGGTGGTGAGTGAGTGAGTGAGTGCGAGCGTGAGTGGGAGTGAGAGTGAGACTGAGACTGAGAGTGAGTGTGGGTGAGAGTGACTGTGGGTGAGAGCGAGAGTGTGTGGAGAGTGAGGGTGAGTGAGAGTGAGAGTGAGAGTGAGTGAGTGTGTGAGTGAGTGTGGGTGAGAATGAGAGTGAGAGTGAGAGTGAGAGTGAGGGTGAGGGTGAGTGTGAGTGAGAGTGAGAGTGGGAGAGTGAGAGTGAGTGAGTGTGTGAGTGAGTGTGAGTGTGGAGTGTGTGTGAGAGAGTGGGAGAGTGAGTGGGTGAGCGTGAGAGTGAGTGTGAGTGTGAGCGCGAGTGTAAGTGAGACCGGGAGCGTCTGTGAGTGAGAGTGAGTGAGAGTGGGAGAGTGAGTGAGTGTGAATGGGCGTGAGTGTGAGTGCGAGTGCGAGTGAGAGTGAGAGAGAGTGAGAGTGAGAGTGGGAGAGTGAGTGTGAGCGAGTGCGAGTGCGAGCGCGAGTGAGAGTGAGAGTGAGAGTGAGAGTGAGAGTGAG